CCATTCATGAAGTATCTAGGTAAACTGCTTTCAGGAACATTCCGTGCATTTACAATAGATGTAGCTCTTTCATTATGAAGTATATATCTGAGCATACTATTTTTAGGCACATTCTTGCCTTTACAATTGATGTTGTTTTGTTTATATATTGCTAGTAAAAAATCCGGGATCTATTGAGTCCAGGAGATCCTACGTCCCAAGCAAGCAAGCAACCTAGCTGCCTGCTACGTACACTAGTTCGTCTATAAAAATATGAGTTATTTTGCTCAAGTTGTGTTCGTAGGCTCAACAGTGTAACCGCCTTACTGTTATCTTTCATTATCCATTTGTCCATTCCTTGGCACTTTCATTAATTGAATTCTTATGCTTCTAGGTATAACCATTGCTGGTGGATGTGATGGAGCTGAAGTGTTGCATGATGCACACTGGGATGACAATCTACTTTGATTTGCTAATGTGTTGGAATGTTTCAGCAAGTAATAAAGAATATCACTTGATTACGATTTGTGAGATTTGGACCATTTGATTTTTTGAGTTGTAAATATCCGGTTGCCAACATAGGTAGTGAAAACTATTGTTGGTTAAAAGTGCAGAATCATTTTTTAAGTGCAGTATCTGAATAACGATTTTGCTTTCTCCAGCTATATATTGGCGGGCAGTCTGTATTTTTATTAGAAAATCAGAAAGTTAAAAGCTACTTCCCCGTCCCATCATATAAGATCGTTTTTCAAGCTATGTTAGCTAGAGAAATGATCTTATATGAAACGGAGGGAGTATGTACTATGTTATTAGTAGTGCATATCAGGTTACCAATGGATTGATGTTCTTGCTTTTTCCCCGGGTTTAGAATCAGAATTCAAGTTGTAACAGGGCTCTTGTGACTGCTGTCAAAGTAGGATAACTGATTGAATTTTCTATGGAATTTATGGTATTCGACCTGTACTATGTTGACTGGCCTAATTTACCATCAACGTCGGTGATCAAGATGTAAGTCTCAGCTGTGTGTAGGTTACTGTGCTACCGGCCCAAAGTTTGGCAACAGAAAAGTCACATTATAAATTAAAATTCAGCTTGTGTTTTGCAACGTTATGTTCCAAGACAAGACAACTATACATGTGTTCAGCTCTTATGGAGCTTCTTTTTTAAGGCAAAGTGCATTTCCTACTCTGTAGGTTAGCCATCAACACACACTAACACAGGAGCGTTGTTAGGGAACTGATGATCGAGTTCGATATCTGTGTTGCTCCGCTGGTTGTGGCTAAGAAGTCTCTAGGAGTAAATAATCACCAGAACACACAATTGATATCTGTGTTTAATTTGTATGGCTTCCTGATTTCATTTGTAATTCTGTGGTCAGCTCATTTTCGTTGCAACATTTTTAGGGCCAGTTATTTCGGCTTCCAGAGTGGCTTCTTACCTCCGAAATTAAGCCAAAGCCGAAAGAACTGGAAATTTTGGTTCGGCATAACTTCCCAACCACTGCGAAGTTGGGGAGAGGCCACTCGAAGCAGCTTCCTGAGCTTCTCCTGTAAGTTAAATCGCTGAGCCCCTAAATTACCGTCAAAAGTTATTACATTAGAAATGCACCAACACAGCAATACAGCTTGCTGCGATCCGCTCAGCATCATCATCATCACCCTTTTAAGCATATACGCAATGAGTTTGAGAAGGACTTCGATACAAC